TTTTTTTATAGAGCAAATCCGAACAGAATTTCAAAAAATAGTTCTTACCGATGATTCATTCGGGAATGATTCTTCGGAGTTTTCAGTTTTCACCGAGAACCCTGGATCGACACTCTCGTTGGCTACATCTTCCCAAAAGTCATGCGGCTCCTCTTTAACACTAAAGAAACGATCGTTTAAAAATATATCTTTGACAAGCATGAAAAATTGCATACCTAACTAAATCCTTTCTGCTTTCCATTGCTTCGTTACAATAATTTATCTTGAAATTATTCAAAATTAAATGCCTCGAGTAGCTAAGCAATAGACTTGTGCGGATATTATTTGTAAACACTTCTTACAGCAGGAAATGGTTAATAGCGACTGAGCGTAGACAGTTTTGTACAACTATGAGTAGACACTGACATGTAATTAACATTATCCCGAGATCGTAATGAAAATATCATTAAATTAGGCTCACAATTAGTTTACACGAACGGGCGATATGTGCGAAGAAACAATAACACAAAAAGTATCTTTCGGATAACTAGTCACGAAATTCCGAGAGTATAAAAACGTGAAAAAATTAACCAACTAAAATTAACAAAATTTAGAGAACGCAGATGCGATGAGTGTAAAAAATGTTTCTTAAAAAAAATTGATCTGAACAGACATCTTGCCACGGTTCATGAAATAAACAAAGATCTTTAATGCGAAGAGTGTGGCCAACAATTTGGACGAAAGGATCATTTGGTACAGCACCTGAATGTAGTTCATTTGAAACTGAAGAAATACATGTGCGAAAAATGTGGCAAGTCTTTCGGTTATAAAATTGAGTTGAACAGGCACATTACGTCAGTTCATGAAAAAATCCAAAGTCATGAATGTAAAGATGCAGCAGGACCTTTGGAAAAAAATGTCATCTGATATTGCACATTGACGTACATTTAAAATCAAATATCACTTATGCGAAAAATGTGGCAAAGCTTTCAATTGCAGAAATCGATTGCAAAAACACGTAAAGAAGTTTAAAATTACCAAAAACCCGACTCCGAAATTTGTAATCAACTGCTGTAATAAACCAAAAGTATACCATTAATTTTTTCATATTATTACTTATAAATTTCAATGTATCGACTTCATTTTTTCCGAAATATACAACACTAAACAAATTTTGATTTGATTGAAATATTTACATTTCTAAAAATAATGCTCAATCTTATAGATAAATTATTCCTATAATAAAATCTTGATCTCGCTAACAGTGACATTACGAACTTGTGTAATTTTATAAAAATTTAATGAAAAATATAAATTTTTTAAACCAGCAGACAATGACTTTGTATTATCTGCTGTATTCATCAAAAATATAAATATTAAAAAAAAAAATTCAACCTTTATACCCCCAAGAAATCGAAAATATTTGGGTACTGGATTTGTTCTGCCTCGATTCAAAACTTCAGCTAATCGCCCACACCCCACGCTAGCTCGAGTCCGATAGAATTATTTTTTTAATATTTTTATCTGAGATATCTTGAGGAATGGCTCATGTACATACGAGCGTGTTGAGTTCTATATTGCTCGCGAGTCTCATTTCCATGCATAATTTCAAAGCTCGCGCGAGTTCACGTGCGGTACTTACGCAGGGCTCTCTTCTCTCCGTCTCTCTCCCTCTCTAGCTCACACGCGCGCATATATCATTATTCAAATGCATGGCGTTTCGAAACGTCTCAATTGAAATCGCAATCGTGTTCCGTCTGCAACGTATCAGCGCGGAATCGCCGAGATGCACATTGTGTAATAGCTCTCGCGTGCTTTACATACGTTTATACATAAAGAGATACACGGAACTAATTCGCGCGCCCGCCCGCGTGACCTACGGGCCCAACTTGACTCTATATGTACACACATCTATCAATATTATAGAGACTCTTCATTCCGCCGTTATATATAAGCGCGTCGAATGTCATCCTTTATACGAATGTGCGTGTGCGTGTGTGCGCGCGCGTAAATATAACGGAGACGGCAGAGCGCGTGGCTTTTAATAATTACTCCGTCGTCGGCCCATCGCTTATCGTGTAAACAGTTGTAAAACAGAGCACGCGAGCTCTCGCGCCAACGCCGACAGATTATATACGCTGCGCTGACGCGACGTGTTGCAGATGTTGCAGACACCGCCGCCGAGAGGCCTCTATATCTTTTCTTGTACGTATATACGCTTGCATGCGAGCGTGTGCATATTCGATGATTAGCAGTTTAATGAGTCGTTGACTTTTGGTGTAAGTGTAAGTGTCTGTGTGTGTGTTGTATTAATTGGGTGAAATAAAAATTTTTTTATGCAACATCTTTGTCGCATTGACAGTTTCGGCCTTGGGATATTTTAATACGGCGTGACATACCTTAGTTGTTTGACATCGGTTATTTTGAAATCAATAAATAGCCCTGTATCACTATATTACGAACTATGAGTTAAATTTTATATGATAAATAATGTTATTTACTTGATAATAATGTACGAGAATGTTAATTTTTTGGAGAACTAATCACCGAGAAGCTTAATTTCAAGTGTAAACATTTGGGTCCCTCATTGAATGTGTCAAATATACCTGTTGCTTCTTCTGTATCTAAATAAAAAGCTTATCAAGCTCTGCTAGCCCCTTTTATCGGGAAATCAGCTCGAAAAATAAAATTAGTAACATTTTCTAGAAAAAAAATGTATAATGGTACTAAGTTGAGTCGTCGACAAAATGTACATGGATAACCAAGAGGGTTTACATAATATTCAAGATTATTTCATGGCTATGAATAAAAGGTGGCAATTTTAATATATTTCGACTTTCCGAAGGGAATTATACCATGAAAGGTACAAATAAAAACTCGGTGTACATGAGGTTACAAGCATATTGCGTTACAATGTTTTGAAGGCGCGTGAAACATTAAAACACCAGAAAGGGTCAGAGACCACGCGTCACGACGCGAATACTCGAAATAAAAAGTAAAAATTCACGTCTCACCGCACAAAAGTTTACTGCGTGCGGTTTTTAAGCGTAAAAACAATAAAAGACAAAATAATGCTACTGCCGGTTCGGTATGTCTAACGTCCCGTGATCCAGCGAACTTCGAGTTGAAGGCTAAAAATAAAATTAACGTCGCCTTTACGCTCGTGTACAGTTTTATTCGTGATCTCAATTTCGAAAAATTAAAACCAATTTTTGCCTGGTCAATTCAAAAACGAATAAAACTTCTTACGGAAGACACTGATCATAATCGAGTTGTAACCCGTGTCCGTATTATCATATTAAAAAATAATTTCTAAAAATAACTTTTAAATTTCTTATCCGATCGTACTACATTGTGAATCGTATTAGAAAAATTGCAGTGCATTATATTTTACATTAAATTTCCATATTATATTTAAAAACCGCTGCCAATGTATTGGCAAGTAGCTTCCTCATACTTTTTTTTTTAACTTAAAAATAATTTGAAAATATTAATATCATCTTTCTAATTACGAAAGCGAAACGAAAGCGCCTCTCAGCTTTATCGGGTATCTCAAACAAACAATGCAAAAAAAAAAAAATTTTTTTCTTAAATAGAAAAAAAAACGTTACGTTTATCGATAAATGAATTTTTCTGGCTTCGTCCCTATGTCATAACGAATAAAATAAGCCCTTCCCCGTCACGATACGTGCTACCGTTATCAAGGAATCACTCTACACAGCCATACAGCCGCATACACCCACATACATTCCAAAATGTGTCAAAAATTCGATCTAGTATATAGATAATTATATTATACGAAAGCCTAAATGTATCCCATCACAAAACTTCCTATATGAGGGAGCAAAAGGAAGAAAACGACAATTTCCCGCAAAAAAAATTTTTCCCGTAAAAAAAAATTTTTTAAAATCGAAAAAAAAATTTTTTTTCTTCGTTTATCGCTAAATACAATTTTCTGGCTTCATCCTTACATCATAACGAACAAAAAAAGCCCTCCCCCGTCACGATACGTGCTACCGTTATCGAGGAATCACTCTACACAGACATAAAAAAATTTCCAAAAATTTTTAAAAATCGAAAAAAAATTTTTTTTTCTTCCTTTATCGCTAAATACAATTTTCTGGCTTCATCCTTACATAATAACGAACAAAATAAGCCAAACCCCGTCACGATACGTGCTACCGTTATCGAGGAATCACTCTACACAGACATACAGCCGCACACACACACACACACACACACACACACACACACACACACACACACACACACACACACACACACACACACACACACACACACACACACACACACACACACACACACACACACACACACACACACACACACACACACACACACACACACACACACACACACACACACACACACACACACACACACACACACACACACACACACACACACACACACACACACACACACACACACACACACACACACACACACACACACACACACACACACACACACACACACACACACACACACACACACACACACACACACACACACACACACACACACACACACACACACACACACACACACACACACACACACACACACACACACACACACACACACACACACACACACACACACACACACACACACACACACACACACACACACACACACACACACACACACACACACACACACACACACACACACACACACACACACACACACATACATACCAACATGTGTCAGAAATTCGATCTAGTATATAGAAATATCATTAAATATACCCTACGATTACTCTATAAAAAAGCCGAAATGGAGCCCATCACAAAGCTTCCTCTATGAGGAAGCAAAAAGGATCAGTTAAAGTATATTGATTTTATATGCCAAAATGAATTTATATAGGTACTTGCCTTGTGGCACGCAGTACTCGCCCCTCAAATAAAATGTTATTTTATTAACCAAAAAAATTATCAGTTTATTCAGAAATTTATAATACTTTTTCAATTAAAATTTAAATTAATATTTTTCAGGTTGAATCAGTGAATCTGGCGTTGAATTATTTCGACGGCTCGGACATAAGAGGTAATACTATTTCGGTGCAGAGAGCTAAATTTCAAATGAAAGGTGATTACGATCCTACGAGAAAACCGAAAAAAAAGAAGAAGGATAAGGAGAGGCAAAAGAAAATTAAAGAGAAGTAAGTACTTACGTATATTTAAATTACTCTGTGCAACAGACAATTAACTGAACATTTTGAAATTCTAATGTCAATTTTAAAAAACAGGTTACTTGACTGGCGGCCAGACAGACTGCCCGGCGAACCATCGAGGAATGAACGAATTGTGATCATTAAGAACTTATTTAGTCCAGAAGAATTCGACAAAGACGCAGGACTCGTCCTTGAGTTTTCTCAAGATATTCGATCAGAATGTACAAAATGTGGCGAGGTCAAAAAAGTTATCATTTATGATGTAAGATTTTGCCTAGAATTTTCACCATAAATATTTAATATTTAAAAATAAAATCACTGAAAAACATTTATTTTTAGCGCAATCCTGAAGGGGTGGCTCAAGTAACATTCAAAGAGGTAGAAGAGGCGCAGGCCTGCGTGCAGTTGCTGAATAATCGATGGTTTGCTCAAAGAAGAATAACAGCTGAAATTTGGGATGGCAAAACGAAGTACAAGTAAGTTAATTTTCGACTCGATTTCCTCATTACTTAGCTTCGTTGTGATTCAACCTTGTTATTTACTTTTTCAGAATCAAGGAAACCGAAGCGCAGATCGAAGAGAGAATCAACAAGTGGGATAAATTCTTAGAAGAGCAAGAGGACGCCGAGGACGCTAAAAAAACGGCTGCAACGTAAAATTCTCTTTTCAAAATACGAAGTTGTATATTTTGATTATTTTTTCTTTAATAAAAAAGAAAGTTTGTTTTTATCTATAGTAGATACAAAATATCTTAGCACAGATTATGTACCTAAAGTAGGGCTTACCGGTTGCAACTGCATACCGTACGTAAGTTGTACACCATACCCACTGTAGGTAAAACATTTCGAGCATTTTTACAATGGTATTAAACTTTTAGTTTTATTTTATACTTGAAAAAAAATTAACTTGAAAGTTGTAATTAGTTTCATGTTTCATTTATTGTGAAATAATTAAATTTATTTTGCATAATTAAAAGTGTAAAAAAGTGAGCATTAAATTAAATTTTCTAAATTCAATTCAACGCAATCAGCTTTTTGCAATTATTTTTCGTACCCGTTTTAATTTTAAACAGGTTCCAATTCGTGAGTATATTTTGCAAATTTACAGCTTTTATTGACACTTGTTTTATAGTCCTTACTTGCAAACGCCAGCACGATGCGCCATCTTCATGCTTGCATGCGACATAGCGCACGCAGCTTGCCAACGCGTCCGACGGTTGACTAATTTTTCGATATTGTGAACAATTTTGCACGAACACTTTAAAAATCAAAATTGTAATTTAATGTAAAATTTTACGAGGAATCGATTGTTGCAGTCTATTTCCCTGTATCTTACTTAGTTTTAGAAATAAACGTGAAAAACACATTTACCCTCGATTTACACCCTGACGTTGAGGTAAAAAATGATATCCTACTCGGATTCCTGAGGGTCAAAAATAGGGCTGTGCGAGTATCCGATTTTCCGAGTTTTACTCGACTCGAGTCGGGAAAATTATAGTACTCGAGTTTTTTCGAATTCTCGATTTTTTTTCGAGTACTTGAGTTTTTTCGGGTACTCGAATTTTTTCGAGTAATCAATTTTTTTTTAGTATTCGCGATATATTTGAATTTTAAGTAAATCAATGGTGAATCAACAGTCTCTAGACCCCTCTCTTCGTGTGTATATGCTTATAAGTGTGATATTCACAGCTAGAATTGGTAGAAGAAAATAATTTAATAGTACCACACCTCATCACACTTATAAGCATGTACACACGAAGAGAGGGGTCTAGAGACCGTTAATTCATCATTTAATTACTTAAAACTTAAATATATTGCGAGTATTCGAAAAAACTCGATCCCTCGCAAAAACGCGAGTATCCGAAAAAACTCGAGTACTCAAAAACTCGAGTACTCGACTCGAACTCGAGGAAAAAACTTAAACTCGACGAGTCAAGTTTTTTCGAGTACTCGCACAGCCAAAAATACATAAGAATGCGTCGTTTGTAAACTTTCTAACCATTGCAGCTTCCTCGCTATGTTCCCAAAACTACAGAGCCTTAACTAATATCACGCAAACTTACAATCGAAAACATAAAGGAGTCTTCGGAATTGAGGAAAGGAAGCATGATAACTGTGCCTAACACCTTGCACTTTTTCATATTTTAGAGATATTTCAGGGCTTCAGAAAAAATCATTAAAAACTTGAATAATTGTTTTTTGGTGAAGCAGTTCAGAATCCAAGAATATTTTTTCGGAATATTTTTCCTTAATTTTAACAACAAAAAAATCTTGTGTTTCGTGTATTATAAAAGTGACATCTCGCGTTTTAAAATCGCACGCCTTATTAAAATTTACAATATTTCAGCTTACAATTCACTTGAAGAGCTGTGAATGAAATTTATCTACGAAAAGAGCTGTACAAAATTTCAGAGAAATCAAATTGATTAGACTTGCTGTATGAAACACAATTTTTCAGAAAAAAATAATTTTCGTCACACAAATTGTAACCTTTTAAAACCCTCATTGCTACACATGTGCCTTGCGCTATGTGTGTGAAAAAAACACACCTCGTTGAATGCCGTAAAGAAAAAAATACCTCATTAATTCAATTGAAACGCTGTAAAGAATACCTCTCGTTAAAGCACCGTGAAGAAAAACACGTATCATCGAAATGTCGTGAAGAACAACACATTTCATCGAATTACGATTTAACGAATCACGTCGAAAATATCTTGGTTTTTCAAAGAGGTGTGTTTTTCTTCACGGCATCCGATGAGATGTGTTTTTTTTCACAGTATTTCGTTAAGGTGAGTTTTTACTCATAAGCAGTGGCGATTTGTTATAATCATTTTGTAGAAAAAATTAATGAAAAATATGACTCAGATAATTGTTGATGCTCAAATTTTGAATAAATTTTAATAGAATAAATGTTTAAATAAAAAAAAATTTCTTCAAGCGCAAACATCGATTTATCATATATATTTTGGATCGTACCACGTGTTCGTTGTAGAGTTTTTAACATTTTTAATTCGTTAAATATGTGGCAAACGAAAAAATGACGAAAAAACTTTTTTTTTAGAGTTTTCCAAGGAATCTTAAAATATTTTTTATTCAAAAAATATACATCGTTATATTTTTACAATAACAAATTATTTTTATCAACATTTTTGTGCTTTATATTAATATCTTCCACGAGACACAATCGATGTACCTAGTGTATAGAGCTCTTAAAAGTGACGACCCCCGAAAGCGCGCAATTCAAATAATGTTATTTTTATCATAGAAAAATCCTTATTACTGTTAAAGGCAATCGAGATGCTTTTAATCAATAGATGGAATAACTCGATAAATAATGCACAAAGCGCAAAAAAGGCCTATTTTCATTGCAAACTCATATCCAATTGAAAAAACAGCAATATTATGTGTTTTTTTAAGCTATCAGATAAGCGCAAACGTGCTTTTCCCAACTTTGAACATACGCTAAAAATATACTGCCAATACCTTCAATTTTCGTTCAAACAAATTTTTTATTAGAAAAAATAAATTATTCATTATTGGCTTGGTCACGGTAATACTTCTGCGCGGCCTCTGCGCATGTCTAATGCACCGAATTGAGTGGGCGATGCTCTGCGCCTACTACCTGCCTAACTTTCTCTTTCATTTTGGAAAGGCTTCAAGCACCAATATCCAATAGCAGCTGAGCAGTTCAACTCCACATGTCGAGTCGTTCAGATCGTATTACGAATACACAACGTAAAAGACGTTTCATCGCCACGTGTTTTTGAAATTAGTGAAAAAAATTGAAATTTTTAAGTTTTAGTATTTTTTTTGTTGTTCGCGAGTGCATACAAACATGTCCAAAAACGAATCCGAGATAAGCTATAATAGTAGAAAATATTTAGAAGTGTACGGGAGCTTGTCGAAAAATGTCACGTGGGAGATTCAAGAGGATCGACGTGAATTTCTTCATCAACTCGTTGCCGTCATCAACAATTGGAAAGGCGAACTTCCAAATCTTCTAGACTTCTTCCAGAAAGAAGCGATTAATTGGCTTTTGTTGGAATCCGTCACAGGCGCAGATGAAGACGCAGATGAAGACGCAGATGAAGACGCTGGAGAGACACCAGGAAAACGATTCATAGATTTTGTGGCTCGCAGCGGCTACAAGGAAGAGCCCGACACAGATAAAGACGGCAAGCCACTGCTGAATCGCACGACACCAATTCATCATGCTGCACAAAAGTATCGTTGTTACACCGTAATCTCTGCTCTATTTCAAATTTACGACAAATTCAACGTAAATTATATCGACGAAGATGGATTATCACATCTTCACGTGGCCTGCTGGTATGGTCTCGACACCGTCGTCGAAAAATTTCTTGAACTCGGGCAAGATCCCAACGGTTTCTCTCAAGATATGGCAGCGAGATATCCTGACTCGCCGCTATACCTGGCTTTATACAGAAGCCACGAGACGGTAGCCGAATTGCTGCTGAGACGCGGCGGGGATCCAAATTTGCGCAACAAAGATGGAGAGGCCCCATTGCACGCCATTTGCCATCGATTCACCGACGGCGACGACGCTGAGTCATTGAAGAAATTTTTCGCCATTAACGACGAAGTCGGTAACACGGTCCAGGTCAACGTTCAGGACATGCACGGTTTCACACCGTTGCTCTTGGCTGCGTTAAGCGGCATAAAAAATGCACTTGAACTGTTGCTGAGAAAAGGCGCGGATCCTAATGTAGCCAACGAGAGAGGATTCACCCCTGCGCACATCGTTAGCACAATTGACTGTGTGGAGACATTCTTCAAAGTCAACGACGAGAGAAATCAGACGATCCAGATCAATGCTCAGATCGTCGAGGGTTACACACCATTGCACTTACACTTGAAACTGATGAGTATCAATGAAAAGGCAGTCCAGGTCGATGATCAAGACAATGAAGAGCCACCATTGCAAGTGATTTTGGATATGATGAATGGCTGGAAAAAGTCAGTCGAACTGCTGTTGAGGCGGGGCGCTGATCCGAACTTGGTCAACGAAAGCGGAGAGACTTGTTTGTATATTATTTGCCGTAACAACGACGACGATAACGAGATGGCAAAGATGTTTTTTGAGATCTGCGACGAAATACATCAGACGGTCCAGGTCGACGCTCGCAACAATGAGGGTCAGACACCATTGCACGCGTCAATCTCCAAAGGCAACATAAACTTGGTAGAAATTTTGCTAAGAAGGGGCGCTTGTCCAAATTTAGCCGATAATATGAAACTTACTCCTTTGCACGCAATATGCGAGAGAGAAAACGGCGACGATGGCTTGCTGAAGAGATTTTTCGAGATCAACGACGAATTAAATCAGCTGGTGGAGGTCGACGCTCTGGATGACGAGGGTTGTACACCATTGCTCGTGGCAATAGACAAAGGCAACATAAAATTGGTAGAAATTTTGTTAAGAAGGGGCGCTCGTCCCAATTTATCTGATAATAACGAAGCTACTCCTTTACACGCAATATGCGAAAGTAAAAACGGCGACGAAGGCTTGCTGAAGAGATTTTTCGAGATCAACGACGAATTATATCAGCTGGAGAAGATCGAGGCCGAGAACGAGGAGGGCTCGACGCCGCTACACTTGGCTCTGTGCAAGAAACTCAACGAATTGCTGTTGAAAAGACAAAAGGCCGATCCAAACTTAGCCAACGCAGAGGGCCGTACTCCTCTGCACGTTATATGTCAGAGAGAAGACGACAATGTTGACTTGGTGAAGATGTTATTCGAGATGGGTGACAAATTCAATAAGCCGATCCAGATCGACGCCCGGGACAAATTCGGCTGCACACCATTGCACTTGGCTTTGAATGGCGGCCACGAACAAATAGCCGAATGGCTGCTGAGAAGAGGAGCGGATCTGGATCTAGCCAACGCGGAAGGATCGACATCGTTGCACTTGATTAGCGCGGGAAATATGGACTGCGCTGACTTTTTGCAGACGTTTTTCGAGATCAGCGACGAGCAAAGGCGGCCGGTCGAGGTGGACGCACGCGACAACGAAGGAAAAACGCCGCTCCACCATGCCATAAGTCACAGACACAAGAAGGTGTTTGAATTACTGTTGAGAAGAGACGCCGATCCAAATCTGGCCGATAACGTTGGATCGACGGCTCTGCACACGATTTGCGTATTCGCCGACGATAGCGACTGGGCCAAGATGTTGTTCGAAATCAGCGAGGAAAAGAATCGGGCGGTGCAGATCGATGTTCAGTGCGAGCGCAACTTCACACCGCTGCACCATGCACTGGTCGAAGCAGAATTCAGGGCAGTGGCAGAATTGCTTCTAAGAAAGGGAGCCGCTACGAATTTAGTCGATTGGGAGGGATTGACTCCTCTGCACACGGTTTGCAAGTTCGCCGACGACGAGGACCGCGTGAGGATGTTGGTCGAGATCGGCAACGAGGAAAACAAGCCGGTAGAGGTCGACACCCGGGACAGGTTGGGCCGGACGCCGCTACACCTGGCGCTGGCCCGAGGCAACGGTCAGGTGGTCAAGTATCTGCTGAAATTAGGCGCCGATCCCAACTCGGCGGACGAGAACGGATTCTCACCGTTGCACGTCATCATCGAGCATCGTGACGAGGACCATCAATTGTTGAAGCTGTTCTTCGACGCCTGCAATGAGGTCGATCGGCCGGTGCAGGTCGACGTCCGAGACAAGAGGGACCGGACGCCTTTACAATTGGCCGTAGCGTATATGTTCCTGGCAGTGGTAGATGTACTCTTGGATCAGGGCGCCGATCTGTCCAGCTTCGTTTTTCCCAACAAGAGCTTTTACGTTGAGAGATTCGGGCCGATAAGTGAGATGCACGAACGTAATTGGCTTTGGTTTAAAGTAACAGTAGCGTCTAAAATTTTGGCCATCGTTGAATATCTCGAGAAAAGAGAATACGAATTTGATCGTAGCGAAGCCGTGAATATCATGAGTTGGTTCGCCGAGTACGAACTGTTTGAAAAGTCGACGGATCTTGAAGAAAATTGGTACGACGACGAAGAATTCGTGAGCGAATCGAAAGAGATAATGGTGATTCCTAGTCTGTCGCTTCACGACCTTATCCGATTGAGACCGGAAGAGGCGGCAAAACAACTAAAATATCAGGACTATGGCACGTTAGCGCACTGGATGAAATTGTCGGGTCGTCCCCAAAGTCACGAGGATGTTTGTGCTCGGCATCTGTGCGAAAAACTGTCGAGAGGATTTTTCTGGCCGTGGGCACTCGATGCTTTCTATGAATTGCAACACTACAAGCTGCCGGTTATCTGCTGTAACATGATCATTTCGAAGCTAAAGAACGAGGATTTATATAACATTTGTTTGGCAGCCCATACGATAGGGAAAAACTCGTGATGTCTCGTTAGTTTTGTTGTCATAACTGTGCAGATAACGAAAAATTATAAATAGTATCAGAAAAATTGTAAATAATTGTAAAATTGTAAGAAATTACTTGAATTCGAAACCTTATAAGATATCGATTTATAAGTTTAGAAACAATAATAGTTAATTAATAATAATAAAAGTCACTTTGTTGGACAATGAATATTAAAACTACCCACGTAAATAAAAACAAAATTGTAATAATAGTTATAAGTCTTCTCAACTTCTCATGTAATTCTATAAATTTTTAATATCAATAAAATATATGAATAAATTAAAAAAAAATTGACTTTTGATGTTTCCACTGATTGATTCACAATTCACAAAACTGAAATCTTAGGTTGTATAGCTATTCAACAACAGGTAATGAAAAAATTGTGTGGCTATGAGAAATTCGAATTTTCGTATGAATAGTTCATTGGCAAAGAGCTTCTTCATGAAAAGTTTTATTCATAAATAGATTTGGCTATTGAAGGGAAAATTTCTATACAAACTTTTTCAATTTCGTATACGAAACTCCAAATGAACCTATAGAGATCTCTAGAATTTTGTGTAAGCGCAACCGCGAACCTCGTGTAACATAGGTGATGGAACCCGCACAACATTTCGCACACGCACGAAACTTGGCCAACGTCGACTATAACTTCATGCCACCTGTATATTTTTTCCGTGTACTTATATTCAGGGGCGGACCCAGGGGGGGGGGCGATGGGGGCGATCGCCCCCCCTAAGGACCCAGTCAGTGCATTTTTTTTATCTTTGATTATGTAACCATGAGCAGTCAACCCCACCTAGCTCAAGCAATTTTCAAATAATTAAATATGCAATCCCAAGTAACCCTAAGTAACTGTAAGAAACCTAAGAAACCCTATCGATCAAACTCCTGTCTTTTATAATAATTAAATATGCAAACCTAAGTAACCCAAGTAACTAAATTGCTCAAGATCGCGTGGTTTTTTATTCGTCAACATGCAAGAATAAATAATCGAAGTGACCAGACACTTTCAAAATTTTTCGACAACAGATAAACTATAGTATGTATCCGAATATACTCAGCTTGTGCCATTTTTTTTGATTTTCAAATGTGGAATCATAAAAAATTAGAAAAAATTCAATAGCTGGATCGCAATGATTACATGCTGTAGTTTATCTACAATGAAAACCCAAAAGTGTAAAAGTTTCTGTGGAAAACTCGTGCAATTTACACGATTCAAAAGTTTTTCAAGGGCAAATTACACTTTTTGAAAAATCGTCACAGAAAAAAAAGTGTAAAAACGCAATATAGCAGAAAAGATGTATGAAGCATAGGCTACGCTTGTTTTAGCACTCATTTCACATTTCCAAAACCGGTAGCTTGCGCATCTTACACATTTTCTGCGGTGACCATTTTTTCAAAAAGTGTAATCTGCGCTTGAAACACGTTTAAAAAGTATGAACTGCGCTCCTCGCACTTCTTCCAGACAACAGTTTTCAAAAAGTATAATTTGCGCTCGACGTGCTTTTGAATAGTGAAAACTGCAAAAAAATATCACGATTCTCCAAAATCCTTTAAACTTTTGGGTTTTTAACCGATTGGGAGTTTAACTGGCAGCTTTGTAATACCATAATATTGCCTGCATTTTAATCGATATTACCCATTCATGCAGTGGAACTTTGACTCTTTTTGAGAGTCAAAATTCAACTTGATCATTGATAATATACTTTTTCCTAAGATACAGTGCACACTGTGCACATCACACAACTCGCAATAGTTTTAGTCGTGATACCGCCATTTAAGCTTTTTTAAAATTATGAGGCTTTATTGCTGTAATTTGTGCAGAGGTTTCGGTTCAGAAACTGTCTCGGAATATTTTATCCCTTTCGTTATTAAGAACATTTTACGAACCACTGACGGTTATGCATATTTCTCTGCCAATATGCTAAGTACTCTTTTTATTTAATTTTATGCGTGAATGAACTGAAAATATTATAATTTCAAAGTGCATATCGACCACATTAGAAATTAACGCTTGTATTTACACGTGTAAATACTAGTTCTTATCTCAGCGGGTCAAAATCTATCGATAACATCTTATTCCAACCATCCACTTATAGTTTCCTACGGGAAGGTAGCCCACTCCCAGACCAATCGTATCGACACGATTTTTTTTTGATTCCTTGGAAATCTTGTCCTCTTTAAATCCATATATACTATGATAAGGTTCGAGTCAATATCGAGTTACCAGTAGTATTTTAGCGCAACACGTAAAATTACTGAAAAAAAAAGATTGTTTGAACGTGTACCAGTACCACAGTAATATTTTGTTTAAATATAACATACACCATCGCAAAGTACTCTTTTCAACGAGTAATTTAAAAAAGAAATAGAGCTCTTTACGATGATTTTGCGCCCTGTAGGTCGATTTGAAGGTACCATTTATAGTACGTAAATCCCTCGTTTAGCTGAAATCAACACCATTTTCTAAACATTTTGCGGTACCTTTCGTGTCGATACGATAGATATAGCCCAAGATAGAAAAATTTGAAAATTGACAAAATTTCGATGAAATATTTTGTTGTGTATTATAAAAGTACCTATGTATAAAAGTACCTTTGTATTAATATAAAAGTACCTATCACGTATCCCGGTGGATTTACGGTGGAGGAGCAGTGAAGGATCAGTGGAATTTTTGAGGAGCAGTTAGAAAATAATAATTAAAAAAAGGTGAAAAACATGCGAAAATCATGCAAAAATCACGTGAAATTCACATTTTTGAAAATTGTGGAGGGGCAGGTGGACATTTTGAGGAGCAATCTAACCACATCCTCTCTACTATATAGTAAGTAGAAACCATAATTATCACTAGATCACACAAAGCGTTCGTGAAAATTGAATTACAGTGGATGCTTTTTATTTCTTGTAAAGTTTTTTAAAAAAATGAGAAAATTTCAGAGGTGAGCATTCATTCTCGAATTTTGACCCTAAATTATTTGAAGAAGTTCTGCGGATTTACGTATAAATAAACAGCACGAGCTGGGTTGATTTGATTTTTTGGGATTACTTGCGTTTGCATTTATTTAATTATTCAAAAATTGTACGAACTTGATCAATTTAGTTACTTGGGTTTATTGTAGTTACACATTTGATCATTAAAGCTGTTCTAGCTGGATCGATTTGGATACTCTGGTTACACAGGGTTACTTGGGTTTGAATATTTAATTATTAAAACTACACAAACTGGATCTATTTGGTTACTTGAGGTTACTTGGGTTTGCATACTTAATTTTTTTTAAAAATATTTTTAACTGGGTTGATTTGGTTACTATTGGTAATTATCTTAATGATTAATTTTGGTGTTACGTTTGTAACTTATAAAAAAAAATTTCTTATTATCGCCCCCCCCCTAAACTTTGGTTCTGGATCCGCCCCTGCTTATATTAGATAAGCGTATTGAATAATTTTAAACAATTTTATGTGTAGGTGTCATGTGCCTATTAATTAGAATAGTCCACCTCTTTCAGGTGTTGCATAATAGTTCAAGTTTCTCATGGTAACTTGTGGTTACATTGAAAATTGTCGGATTTTATATACTTGTATGCAGGTTCAATAAAAATTTTTAATGTTCATACACTTCATAGTCATAAATATTCAAATTAAACATTGTACAGTGCTATAATTTCATAATACGGCGAGTTTTATAGTACTATAATAGATCTTACACATTTAAAACAATAACACATAATGTTTACAAGGTTCAGGAACCCAAACAAGCTATTTAATTAGGTTAATGTTCGACTCAATTTCCTCATTACTTTGCTTCGCTGTGATTCAACCTTGTTATAAGAAAATTTGTTTTTATCTATAGTAGATACAAAATATCCTAGCGCAGATTATGTACCTAAAGTAGGGCTTATACCGGTTGCCACTGTATACCATACGTTAGTTGTACACCATACCCACTGTAGGTAAAATATTTCGAGCATTTTTACAATAGTAATAAACTTTTAGTTTTTTTAATATACTTGAAAAATATTAACTTAAAAGTTGTAATTAGATTTATGTTTCATTCATTGTCGAATAATAATATTTATTTTACATTATTAGAAATGTAAAAAAGTGAACATTCATTAAATTTTCCAAATTCAACTCAACGCAATCAGATGCTTGCAGTTATTTTTTGTAAGCAGATTTGTGAGTATATTGCTAATTTAAAGCTTCTTATTGACACTTTTTTTATAGTCCTTACTTGCAAACCTTAGCACGAGGCGACATCTTCATACAGTGATTCGGAGGTAAGTGACATGAATTTTCCATTCAATCGAAGAGCTTTTTCGAAGATGAGATTTTAATCTTCATGTGCATTATCAAATTACAACACTATGCAAATATATAATTTATTAATTACAATTTATTATTTCCAAAAACAGCATTAAAACATCAAATAAATGAAATACTCCATTTTCGTTGATTTCCCCATTGAAACGACTGTTTGATCTTTAAAATGAATCAAAAATAAATAAATAATAAATAAATAAACTGTGATAAGGTTTAATAACCATCCAAGATAGATTTCATAAACGTTCATTCGTAAAATAGATGAGTAAATGAATTTATTAAATAATCGCGAATCTTTGGATTCTTTTCATACATTTATCGCTAGTCAAGATTTTTTCAAAATTATTCTGATAATTCGAACTGATCCAGGCACCATCTTTCACCTCCAGCGTATCGCAATGGCAATTATTTCACCAGAAACCCGATACAACACGGATCTCTTTCAGGTACGTATACGTTGGGAGCGAAAGCCACGCCCATCTCTTGGAGATTGCGCAGCTCGCGTTGAAATACTTTAGGCAACATTTTTATAATACTAACAGCGAAAAACGTCGAATTTTCCACTTTCATACGAGTAAAGTTTAGGAGTGATCGCTTCTAATGTGTAATCTTGAAAAGCAAAAATGAGTTTCACTATTGTTTATAGCCTTTTTAAGTTGATTCGTTTGTAAATTTGTTTTAATAGGTGAAGTTAAATCATACTTCATACTTTGAGATAGTAAAGCAATGAAAATATCTGACGATATTTTATCTGAGCTCCTCGTATATGCCTCGAGCGCCTTTATCAAATTTATTGTTATAACAAGAGGAATTGATCATTTTCGACGCATTTTTTCTTGTTTTTTTCTTTACGAATTATATGAAACACAATTTTTGCGAATGAATTTTTGAAGATTTAGCAATAACCATCATTCCAGCTAATGCCAGCTACTGGCAGCTACTGGCCTTTGCAGAAAAAGCGAGGACCACAGTTCAAAAAATTCTAATAAAATTTGAGAAAGTGTATGAATTAAAAAAACTTTTCATGCAAGCAGAAAAACATTTTTTGTCCCATTCGATTTTAAAGAAAATTTACCGCCTTAATTTTTTATGAATTCATATTCATATTAATATGGATAGGTGAAAAAAAAATCGACATAAAGAATAACAGTTTGAAATTTTTAATTCATTTTCTACAAAATTGAATCACAGCGTCCAACGTCTTGCAACTGATCTCACGATCTTATGATTTGCTACGAATATGTAATGCGTTTATATGACCTTTTAATGTATGCTTGTATCCAAATGATTTGTGACAAATGTCACACTCAAACGGTTTATTCCGATCATGTACTCTATTTATGTGAAATTTGAGGTTACCTTTTGTTCCAAATGATTTGTGACAAATCTCACATTCAAAGGGTTTAATCCGATCATGAACTGAACTTTTATGTTTGTTGAGGTCACCCATATACCCAAATGATTTGTGACAAATTTCACATTTAAATGGTTTACTCCGATTATGAACTAAACTTGTATGTCTGTTGAGGTCTCCCTTATATACAAATGATTTGTGACAAATGTCACATTTAAAGGGTTTGCTCCGATTATGTACACTATTTACGTGAGTTTTGAGGACCTGTTTGTGTCCAAATGCCCTGTGACAAATATAACACTCGAAGGGCTTGCTACGATAATGTACTATATTTATGTGCTTAGTGAGATAACTTTTCCGTAAAAATGATTTGTGAGAAATTTCACATTCATAAGGTTTACTCCGGTTATGTACTGTCATTATGTGAGTTTCGAGAGTACTTTTCACTCCAAATGATTTGTGACAAATCTCACATTCAAAGGGTTTGCTTCGATTATGTACTGCTGTTATGTGATAATTGAGAGTTCCCTTTTCTCCAAATGATTTGTGACAAATTTCACATTCGAAGGGTTTGCTACGATAATGTACTACATTGATGTGTTTAGTGAGATTACCCTTGGATGAAAATGATTTATGACAAATCTCACATTCCAAAGATTGTTTACGATCGTGAACTGAAGTGATATGACTTTTTAATTGATGGTAGTGTCTAAATGACTTGAGACAAATCTCACATTCATACGATCTAATATTTTTATCCATGGAATTAATTTGCTTCTTCAGATTTGCTTCTGCTGTTAATGTTTCTCGATGCATTTTAGACTCATACGATAATTGTTTTTCAACAGTTTTTTCAAAAATTTGTAACTCCTCGAGTGCGCTCAGTTTTAGATGTAAGTTGTCATACAGTCGATGATTATTTTCATAATTACATTCGTTTTTTATCAAATTTTTTGAAATTGTATTCTGCTTGTCTTCTATTTGACTTTCACTTTCTATTTTAACAATTGTTTGAGAAATTCGATACCCAGATTTGGAGTTTTTTTTCTTCAGGGACTTCCATTCAGATTTAACATCTTTGCACTCAAAATCAATCAATATTTTTTCATTCACGTCATTGGTCTGACTTACTTTTTCTGACTTCACCATTGGTGGATAACTTTGATTCTCAGTTTTGCAAACGGTGGCTGATAGAGACGGCACTTCGGGTTTTACATTTTTGCACTCAAAATCGATGAACATTTTTTTGTCTAAATTTCCTTGCGACGCCATAAATTCATTCATGTGATTTGCCTAATATTAAAATTATGTGATTATATTTGATAGTGTATAGAAGATCATTAAACAAATCATTGAACTAACCGATGATTTATGAAATGGCAACGTTTCAAAGTTTTTGACTTCACAAAAGTCCTTAGAATCGAAATGATCATCGTTTGACTCTTCTTTTACCCTGAAAAATTATAAATAAAGTTTGATGAAGCGATCGCTTAAAAAAATATCATGGTATGATGAAAAAATGTCATACCTGACCGTGTTCTCTCTGCTTTCCATATCACTAGCTTTATTATACGTATTCACTATGAATTTGTATGTAGATACTGAGAAAATATTTGAGGTTATGTGCCTCGAGTAGACGATAACACTGTTTACCACGAATTCGTCAATTTTTAGACACTAACCTATACTGCAAGAGTTCAGTCCTCTTTTTACCTGCACGTAAACGCACTAATTATATTTCGAATATATTAGCGAGGCGATTCCATGTTTCTGATAGCTACGAGGCGATGCGTTTCCCCATCTACCTTCGACTGATCATACACTAGACGGACTATCAAGATGACTCCAAAAGTATTAAGGGAGTCATTCATCCAGGCGCAAAATATGTGGAGAAACGTACGCACAAAAGAGATAGGGGTGGCAAATTTTGGAATGAATATTGCAATTTTTTATCATCTATAATATATGATATATTGACTCGATATTAAAAACACCACCAGGTCAAAATTTTAAACTGTCTAGAATATGTGTCAACAGATAAATCGGTTACTTAATTGTAAACAATATGATCTTAAACGATTTTTATTATTTGGCCATATATGAACAATTTCTTCTTACTTTTAAAATCTGAAGAATTCGGGTACAACTAGGATTATATAAGTCTTGAAATTTTTCCGAATTCCCCAATTTTTTTATCAAAAAATTACGGGGTATGCCCAAATTTTTGTGTTGATTCTTTCAGAACTGCCTATTTCAAAAGTATAGAGGAATCATACGTATACGCGCGATCGAGGCATTAAATCAGTCGCTAATTATAATTTTGATAACGTGTACAACGGCAGCAGTAGCATACGTTATAGTGCTACTGCGAGGCTCTGTTTGCCTAAGGCAATAATAACATCTCAATTGCAGCGTGCACAATTGCAGAACACATCGCTCAAATTTAAAGGGTAAAAAAAAAAAAGGAAGAAGTAAAAAGTATCTCGACCGGTATATACCGATTCGATAGTTACACGTATAGTACGTACGCGAATTAATAGAATATAATGATGCTCGAGAGATGCGCGCGGCAAGGGGGGCAGAGAGAGAGACACGATATAACGGAGGAAAACAATGCGCTCATCTCATGCGCATTAATTTATGACTCCTCGTATTAAGCAGCGCGCGCGCGCGGAGCTACAGGATCTCTCCTTGCGTTTCCTGCCTAATATACGACAATACATCATCGCTCGGCCCGTTAACCCTCCTTTATTAAATATCGTGTATGGCATTTATGCGTATGCTGGCTCGCTCGCGCGTGTCTACATATAATAAGTAGTAATAAAGGTAGAGAAATATATTTATGAGTCGTCGGTGAAACCGCATACGGCGATGGCCGGGGTGAAGAGACAATGTCTCGTATAGCAGTGGTACAGATCGAGCCCCGGTAGTAGCTATAGCAGTTCGCATCGTCCCCCCGCGAGTTCTCTCTCTCTCAATGACACAGATAATAAAATAATACAATATGATGCGTATACAAATACTCATAAGTGCGCGGACACGTATCGTCTGTACCCCGACCAAAAAAAAAAAAAAAAGAAAAAGAAAAAAAATGGAAAGAGAAGAGCACGCGTGGATGGGACCCCTTTTTAGGCTCTCGCGCGATACACGAGTATCGCTGCCAAAGGATGACGTTGCGTATATATGTATATTACGATGGTGGTGGTGGTGGCGGCACGCAGTCGAGGGTAGTAGTTGTAGTAGTAGTAGGCAAAAGGAGCGAAGAATGCGCGCAATAAGTATTTTCTATTACATTGAATATCCTCTCTCTCGGCTTTTAATTAATGCTCGTCGAGGCGTAAGACGCGTCCGAATGCAAGGCCTATACAGAATATTATTGTACATAATATCATATACGATAGTACAACAAGGCGAGGGACGTATACATATACACTTTAACATTTATGTAGAAATGTTAGCCACGTATAGCTCTGGCCTACCTGCGTAGCGGCAGCAAAAGCAATAATACGCATAACAACGCGCACGTAACACACGTGCGTATGCGTCGATGCTGCTGCTTTTCAAAGCCGAAACGCAGCGGGCCACATATTTCACGAATTAATCTATTCACGAGGGCGCCTATCAACTCTCGGACTATATACGAGTCTCCTGTTTATACGATGCTACGTGTAAGTGTGGGGCGATCTCCGTTATATATTGTACGGAGCGCAATATCACTGACGAATTTAAAGGGCCTCGACTATTAGCACGCCGAAGATCGGAGAGAGAGTGAGTGAGGGGTGGGTGGCCCCTGCTACGACGACGACGCGTCGAGTGGCCGCACGTGCAGCAGCAGCAGCAGCGGAAAAAAAATTAGAGCAGCTTGTAGAGACGATAATGCGATGTCAGGCACTCGAATTTCTTATACACATTTATATACACATGCTACGTAGTCCATGCGTGTAATATCATTGCTGCTCTCGGGGTGCTCGGTACCTTATACTACTGCCGAAAGAAAAAAAAAAAAAAAACGTGCCTCGCCCGGTTCGACCTGCCATTCATGTGTACCGGGCGATTAGGCGATGCGAGATTAAAGGCGCGCGCGTGTGTCTATGTGTGCTATATTGGCGTGATCGGACACGCTCCGATCGGGCGACAAATATATGTGTATGCACGAGCTGCAATATTTAATTGCGATTCGATACGCTTCGCACACGATGTTATACGGTATAAAGAGCAAGTGGACTAAACGGATATATTATTATATATATCTCTCTGCGGGGTGGCTTTTCTATTAAAGGTCATCGTTCAATTCGCTCGACTGATTTTTCGACTGCTCTTCTTTCCAGTCCAGATACTATTCTGTCGGGGCTCTGTCTGTCTGTCTGTCTTGTCTCCTCTTGACAATATTTCATTACGTTTATTACGTCGACGAGACTCGGATCCGAGGGTGTATTACTGTCGATGACACGTCTTGAGATGGCTACAGACGACTTCTTTTCTTTTTCTTCCACTTTGGTACTCTGTTTTTTTGTTGTTTTTTTCAAGTTTTCAAGTCTCCAAAGCAAACTTTATTGTTAAGAGCGAATGAATGTCGAGCGGCTTATTCATTCGGGGTTGGCATCATCGCGCAATGAAACATCGTCAAACGAGGTTTCGGCCAATGACTTCCGCAGTAAAGAAATTATTTTTCAAATACAACGATGTATTACCATCAATGGCACCTGTCAAGAGACTTATCTATTAAGCATCGGTACTGAATTGACCGAATTACTACAGATTCTCTGATTTATCATTTGAAACCCGGTTGCTTTTAAAGTTAATTTTTAAAAAATTTATAAATGAAGTTGCTGACGGTAAAAAGTCACATTACATAGAACATGGATCTTTTTATTTACTTTCCTTTGGAATTGAAATCAATTATTTTGTTTTGTCCATCATGTTTTTATTGCATAATTATCGGAAATTTATTTTTCGTAGCAAGTGATGTCATATTATTTATCCAATGTAATGTTTTATACATTTCTTTTGTTTCTTTCGAATTAATTATCATTTTACAGCATTTTATTTATTTCAATATGATAAAAAAATGGTAAATAAAGCTATTTTTTTTTGTTGTTTGATTTTAAAAATGTACTATCTACTTGTTGCTCCGAAATTATTTATTATTTTATTAATTTTTATAGTAGAAGGTTATAAATCATTGGGGTTATTGGTTAATTCTAAATTAATTTAATTTAGAATGGAATCAGAATTCTATGAAAATATTTGAGGAGATCGACGTTTCCGTTCCAAATTAAGCGACAAATAATTTCATAACTTTCCAAGTAGTGAACATAACCACGATTTCACTCATCAAAGTAGTATTAAAGTATTATGTTTACTTTCCCAATTGCAGATTTACAAATAATTGCAGACTCGCCATCTAGCGGTGGAGACTTGAAGTAGTTAGTGATATTTAAAGTGGTTGACAACTGGTTGATATTTTTTGGAACTGCTGAAATGTCGAGTAATTTAAAAGGCGCTTGTTATTGTTAAACAATCGTTATAGAAAAATTACAAAATAACGTTAACGGAACGTTAAAACAATCTACGCGGTCACTTTTGGTCGTCAGGCCATATCATTAGCATCGAAAATGTCTTCCGCGATACACACCATGAGAATGTACTTATACGAACGGCCCCATCGGGCCTCTCTAAAAACTTCAATATAATATCAAACGGGCGTTTAATATACAAATATATATCGCGACGCGCGAAAAGTTACGGCCGTGCCGAGTCGCGTGCCGTATACTACACACCGGGCACCACTGCATATACTTCGATGGTCGTGTAATTGATTGTGTATATAGACATATGTAATATTGCCGGCACGTGTCTGGATCGGAGCAGGTCAAAGGCCACTGCTGTATACATGTGACGATGCAACCCGTGTAACACGTCGTCGTCGTCGGGACTTTTATCGTGTACGGGTAACGGGGATCGCCCGCGCGCTTATCTGTATCAAAGGTGATATCCATCCGATTCTCACGCGGCGGCGTTCGGATACGATCCGATATAATACGTATATAGCACGACGACCTCTCGAGCGCACGACTAAATGAAAAGGCACGAGATGCTCGCGTCGTGTGCACTTTACGCTCGAACGAGTATACTCTGCGTAGCACCCCCTCAAGACACTCCGAGCGCGCCACCTATCTATACATATTGCTCTCGAGAACGTAATCGACCGTACGGATGACACTGTAATTTGTTTTTCCGTACCGACGATCCAAGTGTGCGTTTTATTATTAAAAAAAAAAAAAAAGAAAAGAAAAGAAAGGTCAGGCAGACATACACACGTGTTTTATTTTTATTAGTTTACAAGTCTTTCTTTTTGTGAGCTACGCAACGAGTCGGACGAGGCGGGGGTCGTTTCGTCCGCGTCCGTATTCATTCGAAGCGACGGTGGCGGTGGTGGTGGTGCGGCGACTATAGACGCTCGATATATCATCCCCCATCCGAGATGACAAATTTAATTAGACGCGTATACATGTACACGCGTCGCCTGTGTATAGTGATTTGGCAATTGTATAGAGGCAGGGTTGAAAAATGACGAACGATTCGCCACGTTCGGAGATTCGTCGTCGTCTTCGTAGTTTTGCACGTGGATTAATTTTTTTTGTTGACGTTAATTCGTTCGGGCTATGTGACACGGATTGTCTGATTGACTAAACTATTGTTGCACCTTACGTCGATGATTTAGATGGATGATACTGCGACATTATTTAGGATAGTTAAGTTTTTGAAGATCTGTAGTAGAATTTGAAAAGTCCTTACCTAAGAAACGAGAAGATAAATTGTAACAAATTTTTAATGGGTGAAGTTAAGTTATACTTGATACTTTGACATAGTAAAGCGATGAAAATATCTGACGATACCTCATCTGATCTCCTAGTACATGGCTCGAGCGCCTTTATCAAATTTTTTGTTATAACAAGAGGAATTGATCATTTTCGACGCATGTTTTCTTGTTTTTTTCTTTACGAATTATATGAAACACAATTTTTGCGAATGAATTTTTGAAGATTTAGCAATAACCATCATTCCGGCTAATGCCGGCTACTGGCCTTTGCCGAAAAAGCGAGGACCACAGTCCAAAAAATTCTAATAAAATTTGAGAAAGTGTATGAATTAAAAAAACTTTTCATGCAAGCAGAAAAACATTTTTTGTCCCATTCGATTGTATAGAAAATATACCGTATAAATTTTTTATGAATTCATATTCATCTTAATATGGATAGGTGAAAAAAAAAGATTGACTTAATGAATAACAGTTTGAAATATTTAATTAATTTTCTACAAAATTGAATCACAGCGTCCAACGTCTCGCAACAAATCTCACGATCTTACGATTTGCTGCTATAATGTATTACATTTATGTGTCTCTTGAGGGCACACTTGTATCCAAATGATTTGTGACAAATTTCACATTCAAAGGATTTACTGCGATTATGTACTCCACGTACGTGACGCTGAAGGATACTTTTATGTGCGAATGATTTATGACAAATTTCACATTCATAAGGTTTACTCTGGTTATGTACTGCTGTTGTGTGATAATTGAGAGTTCCCTTTTTTCCAAATGATTTGTGACAAATGTCACACTCAAACGGTTTATTCCGATCATGTACTCTATTTATGTGAAATTTGAGGTTACCTTTTGTTCCAAATGATTTGTGACAAATCTCACATTCAAAGGGTTTAATCCGATCATGAACTGAACTTTTATGTTTGTTGAGGTCACCCATATACCCAAATGATTTGTGACAAATTTCACATTTAAATGGTTTACTCCGATTATGAACTAAACTTGTATGTCTGTTGAGGTCACCCTTATATCCAAATGATTTGTGACAAATGTCACATTTAAAGGGTTTGATCCGATTATGTACTGAACTCAAGTGATTTTTGAGGGTACCCTTTATTCCAAATGATTTGTGACAAATTTCACATTCATAAGGTTTATTCCGGTTATGTACTGTCATTATGTGAGTTTTGAGATAACCTTTTTCTCCAAATGATTTGTGACAAATTTCACAATCGAAGGGTTTGCTCCGATTATGTACTGCACTTAAGTGATTTTTGAGGGTACCCTTTATTCCAAATGATTTGTGACAAATTTCACATTCATAAGGTTTACTCCGGTTATGTACTGTCATTATGTGAGTTTTGAGAGTACTCTTCACTCCAAATGATTTGTGACAAATCTCACATTCAAAGGGTTTGCTTCGATCATGTACTGCTGTTGTGTGATAATTGAGAGTTCCTTTTTTTCCAAATGATTTGTGACAAATCTCACATTCATACGATCTAATATTTTTATCCATGGAATTAATTTGCTTCTTCAGATTTGCTTCTGCTGTTAATGATTCGCGATGCATTTCAGACTTATACGATAATTGTTTTTCAACAGTTTCTTCAAAAATTTGTAACTCCTCGAGTGCGCTCGGTTTTAGATGTAAGTTGTCATACAGTCGATGATTATTTTCATAATTACATTCGTTTTTTATCAAATTTTTTGAAATTGTATTCTGCTTGTCTTCTATTTGACTTTCACTTTCTATTTTAACAATTGTTTGAGAAATTCGATACCCAGATTTGGAGTTTTTTTTCTTCAGGGACTTCCATTCAGGTTTAACATCTTTGCACTCAAAATCAATCAATATTTTTTCATTCACGTCATTGGTCTGACTTACTTTTTCTGACTTCACCATTGGTGGATAACTTTGATTCTCAGTTTTGCAAACGGAGGCTGATAGAGACGGCACTTCGGGTTTTACATTTTTGCACTCAAAATCGATGAACATTTTTTTGTCTAAATTTTCTTGCATAAATTCATTCATGTGATTTGCCTAATATTAAAATTACGTGATTATATTTGATAGTGTATAGAAGATCATTAAACAAATCATTGAACTAACCGATTTATGAAATGGCAACGTTTCAAAGTTTTTGACTTCGCAAAAGTCCTTAGAATCGAAATGATCATCGTTTGGCTCTTCTTTTACCCTGAAAAATTATAAATAAAGTTTGATGAAGCGATCGCTTCAAAAAATATCATGGCATGATGAAAAAATGTCATACCTGACCATGTCCTCTCCGCATCCCATGTCATTGGCTTTATTATACGGATTCTCTTTGAATTGGTATGATATAGTCTGAGAAAATATTTGAGGTTAGAGGCCTCGAGTAGTCGATAACACTGTTTACCACTAATTCGTCAATTTTTAGACACTAATCTATACTGCAGGAATTTAGTCCTTTTTCTACCAGCACGTGAACGCACTAATTATACTTCGAATATATTATCGAGGCGAATATATTGGTAGGACCATGTTTCTGATAACTCCGTGGCGATGCGTTCCCCCATCTACCTTCGACTGATCATACACTAGACGGACTATCAAGACGACTCCAAAAGTATAAAGGGGGTCATTCATCCAGGCGCAAAATATTTGGAGAAACGTACGCACAAAAGAGATAGGGGTGGCAAATTTTGGAATAAATATTGCAATTTTTTTATTATCTATAATATATGATATATTGACTCGATATTAAAAAAAGTTTTTTAAAAGTACTTTTAGTTTTAGAAAGCCTAAAGGATTCGCCGAAGAAATCGTCACCAGGGCAGAATTTTAAACTGGCTCGAATATGTGTCAACAGATAAATCGGTTACTTAATTGTAAACAATATGATCTTAAATGATTTTGACATTGTTATTTTAATTACTAATCATGTTTATAGTAAAAACAGATTAGTTTGAATTTTATCTTTCCCGATGAAACACGTCATAATATCGGAAAATAAGTTTTACTCATTTAATTTCCGTGGTACTGAATATGTTCCATCGTTCAAATCAGATACTAAAATGAAAAAAAGCGAAAAGAAATCCGAGGAAGTTGACTCGAAAAATAATTCAAGTGAACACGACATTGTTATTTCAAACGACAAACAATACATTTTCGATATTTACCCGGAGGCATATACACTAGAATCAACCATGACAACTCACCGAGGCACAATTCACAATGACCAGAAAGATTACGCATGTGACAAGTGCGAAAAAAAATTTGTAAAAAAATCGAGTTTGTTTACGCACCAAAAATTGGCACACAAAAATCGTGAAGAATTCAGGTGCAACAAGTGCGAGAGAAAATTTGAAAATAAATCAACGTTACTGAAGCACAAAAAAATATTCCACGAAGTTTTCAAAAATTATTTATGTGAAATGTGCGCGATGAGATTTGATACTAAACCCAGTTGGCTCTTGCACTTAAAGACAGTACACGAGGGTCGAAAAGATTTTCCCTCGAAAGTCGACAAAGATTATTTATGTGACAATTGCGAGAAGAAATTTGGACGTAAATCGCATTGGCTTGTCCACCAAAAAACAGTACACGAAGGTCGCAAGGATTATGCATGCGACAAATGCGAGAAGAAATTTGGACAAAAACAGTACATGCTTTTGCACCGGAAGACAATCCATGAAGGTCGCAAAGATTTTGGTTGTGATATATGTGAAAAAAAATTTACCCGAAAATCTGATATGTTTTTGCACCAAAAAATAATCCACGAGGGCCGTAAAGATTTCGCATGCGACAAGTGTGAGAAAATATTTGGAAAAAACTCGACTTTACTTTTGCACCAAAGGACAGTACATGAAGGTCGGAAAGATTACGCATGCGACCAGTGCCACCAGAAATTTGGAAGAAAATCTCATTTGCTCCACCACCAAAGGACAGTCCATGAAGATCATTAAGATTTTGAATACCATCATCGAATTTGAATTGACACCAAAAATCAGTTTAGAAAATTTACAGAAACTATTCATCAGACAGTTCTCGTATTAAGATTACGTATAAGTGATAATTACAATTTTTCTCATATAATCGAAATTGAGCGCAATTACACAAATTTAACTTCTGATGAAAATCCAGTCTTTGTGAATAATTTTTTTCTTGTACAAATTTGTCGAACTCATATCAGTCATATGCCAGGAACAGTTCTTTAGAGAAAAAAGTGTATGTTATTATTATTTCATAAATAAGATCAGATTTTTTTTCTTGACAATTGTGCATTTTTATCCTGAAACTTATGTATAGCTGTTGAAGAATATAAAACTTTTCTGAAATTTAATGGAAAATTTGATTATGGAATGATTTTTTGATTGAAAGAAAAAATAATTATACGATCAACATTGTATATCTGTTGTATAAATTAACTCGATATTACAAAAAATTTTTGATGTGAAACATCTATATTCGCGTTCGGTATCAGGGGTAAACCCCTGAAAACCGAGCGTCCGTCCGTCCGTCCGAGCGAGCGCAACTTTGGTAGTATAATTTTGATGTTTATTTCGACGGCCACGAAAATTCCTCAAGGAAATCGCTCCCAAATCAGATACTTAAATTGGTCCAAATATTGTAAGGTCAATGTGTAAACAGACAAATTGGTAATTTAATGCTAAACAAGATGATCTTAAATGATTTCGACATTGTTATTGTAATCACTGATGTTTATAGTAGAAACAAATTAGTTTGAAATTTATCTTTTCCGATGAAACGCGTCATAATAACGGAAAATAAGTTTCACTCGTATAATTTCCGTGGTACTGACTAGGTTCCATCGTTTAATTCAGATACTAAAATGAATAAAAGCGAAAAGAAATCCGAAGAAGTTGACTTGGAAAATAATGCAAGTGAACGAGACATTGTTATTTCTCACGACAAACAATACATTTGCGAGATTTGCCAGGAGGCATTTACACAAGAATCAAGTGTGATAACTCACCGATACACAATTCATAATGAACGAAAAGATTACGAATGCGATAAGTGTGAAAAGTCATTTGAGTTCCGAAGTCATTTGAGTAGACACCAAATATCAGTACACAAAAGCTGTAAAGATTTTGCCTGCGATCAGTGCGAGAAGAAATTCGTGAAAAAGTCGAGTTTATTTACACATCAAAAATTGGTACACAAAGATCGTAAAGATTACTCATGTAACAAGTGCGAGAAAAAATTTGAAAATAAATTGACTTTTCTCAAGCACAAAAAAATATTCCACGAGGTTTTCAAAAATTACTTATGTGAAATGTGCGCCAAGAGATTTGGTACTAGACCCAGTTTGCTCTTGCACTTAAAGACAGTACACGAAGGTGGAAAAGATCTCCCCTCGAAAGTCAACAAAGATTACTCATGTGACAATTGCGAGAAGACATTTATAAATAAATCAAGTTTGCTCTTGCACATTACAACAGTTCATAAAGGTCGCAAAGATAACGCAAGCGATAATTGTGAAAAGATGTTTGGACAAAAATTGCATTTGCTCTCCCACCAAAAGACAGTCCATGAGTATTGCAAAGATTACGCATGCAATAAATGCGAGAAAACATTTGGGGATCCAAGGAATTTGAGAAGACACCAAAAGACAGTCCATGAAGGTCACAGAGTTGCATGTAATAAATGCGAGAAGAAATTTGGGGATCTAGGCAATTTGAGAAGACACCAAAATACAATCCACGAAGGGCGGAAAGATTACCCGTGCGACAAATGCGACCAGAAATTCGGACAAAGATGGATTATGATCCAGCACCAAAAAACAGTCCACGAAGGACGCAAAGATTACACATGCGACAAGTGCGAAAAACAATTCGCATATAAAAATTCCTTGCTCTTGCACATAAGAGCAGTTCACGAAGGCCGCAAAGATTTTGGTTGTGATATATGCGAAAAAAAATTTACCCGAAAATCCGATATGTTTTTGCACCAAAAGGCAGTCCACGAAGGTCGCAAAGATTTTGCTTGCGACAAATGCGATAAGAAATTTGGACAAAAACAGTATATGCTTTTGCACCGGAAGATAGTCCATGAAGGTCGCAAAGATTACGCGTGTGATATTTGTGAGAAGAAATTTGGAGATCGGAGCACTTTGTTCAATCACAAAAAAATAATCCACGAAGGTCGCTTAGACTTCGAATGCAAGAAATGCGATAAGAAATTTGGAAGAACATCCTATTTGCTCGTCCACCAAAAGACAGTCCACGACGGTCGCAAAGATTACTCGTGCGACAAGTGCGAGAAGAAATTTGGACATAAACAGGGTTTGCTCGTTCACCAAAAGACAGTACACGAAGGTCAGAAAGATTTTGTATGCGACAAATGCGAAAAGAAATTTGGACACAAACAGCATTTGCTCAGACACCAAAAGAGAATCCACGAAAATCATTAAGAGTTTGTGTACCTTCATCGAATTTGAGTTGACACCGAAAAACAATCTATAAAATTTACAGAAATTACTCCTGGATGATTCCGAAGTATATTGTACATATTTATACAGAAACTCATGTATAGATGTTCAGGAATATAAAACTTTTCTAAAATTAAATAGAAATTTGGGCCTATATAATTGTGTTTTACTTGCCACTATCATTACGCCTTTGCTCACTGTTGTGATTAAAGCTTCATTCTTTATCCAGACGACTGCTGATTTCTTCTCCTTAAAACATTCACCATATGCCTTATATTCTGAAAAGGAAGGAAAAAAATTACACGATCGACATTGTATATGTATTTTATAAAATTACCCGATATTACAAACAATTTTTTTTATGTTTATTTAGAAGGCCAAAAAAAATTTCTCGAGGAAATCGTCATCAAGTTATTATTTTAAATTGGTTCAAATTAGTGAGGTCAATGTGTAAACAGACAAATTGGTAACTTAATGGTAAGCAAAATAATCTTAAACGATTTTGATGTCTTTCTTCAAATACATTGATCGTGTTTGTAGTAAAAACAAATGAGTTTGAGTGTTGTTTTTCACGACGAGACAAGCCATAATAGCAGAAAATAAATTTTACTCATTTAATTTCCGTGGTACTGACTAGGTTCCATCGTTCAATTCGAGTACTAAAATGAATAAAAGCGAAAAGGAATCCGAGGAAGTTGACTCGGGAAATAATTCAAGTGAACACGACATTGTTATTTCTCACGACAAACAATACATTTGCGAGATTTGCCAGGAGGCATTTACACAAGAATCAAGTTTGATAACTCACCGAGACACAATTCACAATGAACGAAAAGATTTCGCATGTGATAAGTGCAAAAAAATATTCGAGTTCCGAAGTCATTTGAGTAGACACCAAATATCAGATCACAAACTCCGCAATGATTTTGCATGCGACAAGTGCGAGAAGAAATTTGTAAAAAAATCAAGTTTGACTACGCATCAAAAATTGGTACACAAAGATGGCATCGATTTCAGCTGTCACAAGTGCGAGAGAAAATTTGAAAATAAATCAACGTTACTCAAGCACAAAAAAATATTCCACGAAGCTTTCAAAAATTATTTATGTGAA